TAATTGAATTAACTTACCCATCATAAGAAGAAGCAGCAAACAAATGCTCATTTTGGGGGTGGAAGTCAACACAGCGTACACTCTTCTGAAAGATTTCATAACTCTGTTCAATACAACTAAAAAAATTAATTAAATCAATATTTAATCAATAAAAAACATTTAGATTTGTGTAAGAAAAATTTTTTAGAAGTCATGAAAAATCTCATAAAAACTTTTAATTTAAAAACTGAAAATATAAGTATAAAATTTATTCAAGTCCGTGCAAATTCTAAAAAAAAAAATTTTAATTACTTTTCAATGCACAAAATAAGTTAAAGTTTCTTACTTCATAAGTAACGAAAATTAAATGAATTGAATCACGTGTATTTAGTAATTTGAACTGTGTAACATTAAAATCAAAATAACAATACCGAACTCATTCATTCAAGTTTTAATTGCAAAAGGCTTATTCTTAAGTTGCCTCTAGCTTGAATTTATTTCCTAGAGATTTTCAAAATTCTCATATTTTATATCATTTTATTCAGAAAGAACAAAAAAAAAAAACAAATAAACTTAAATTGATAAAAATAGAATGGAATATAAGGAGAAAATGCTATAATTGTTTGATTAAATAAAACAATATAAAAATTTACAAAATAGAGTTTAAAATATTCAGTAAAATGCTAAACATTTTTTTAAAGAAAAAGTCAGGAAGGTTGAATAAGGAAACATTAAAAAAAAAAAAAAAAAACTATGGTCAACAATTATTTTTACGATATATTCTTTTGTTGTTTGCAAATTTGTATATTTGAATTAAACTGGAATAAAGTCAGAACAAAATGGTACACAAAAAAAAGTCAAAAAAAGTTTACAATCTTTGATACCTTGTTCGTGTATCAAAAAGTAACACATTGCCATTGCTTGAAGCAACCAATAATGTATTTGACTTATTTGCTGGCCAATCAAAATAATTAAACCTATCAGTGTTTTCTTCAATGCTAAAAACCTTTAAAGTATAAATATGAAAAATAAAAAAAAAACAATATTTTGATTACAATAACAACTAAACAAATAAATATACATACATACATACATACATACATACATACATACATACACAAAATCTTTTATGATTTATATAATAAAATCATTAAATAAATTATAAAAGTCATCACCTTAAACATGGAAAAGAAAACATATCTTTTACTTCAAATAAATTATTTATTTTAAAAAGCATTGTTTGTGTAATGTTGCAGACATGTTGGAGACAGTTCAACCAAAATTACCTTTAAAACTTGAAAATTGTGGATAAAGAATTACTTGCAGATTTTAGTTTTTTGGGATTAGGCAAAAAACGCTTTAAAAAAAGTTATACACAGAAATTTTTGTTGCAAATTATGATATTTATTATATTTTATCAATGATATTTACATTATTAAATGGTTTAAATTTATCATAACTTTTCTACATTTATACTAAAATTAAATTTATAATAACTTGTAAACTGCTTGAAGATTTTAACAGCAACACTTTTATGTATCAAATATCAAAATGCACATTAATTTCAAAACTTATTATTCTATATTAAAACATTTTAAAACAAACTGTATAAAAGAACATTTTTCAATCAAATAAAAATATAAACATAAGAATGAGAATAATATCTTTTTAAAATATATGTTTTATCTTCCAGCTTTGCAATTTGGTCAAAATTTTTAAAACTTTTTACCATGGCATAGAGAATATGCATAATGCATTGATTTAACAATTTGCTTTACAATAAATTTAACATCAATAAAACCAAGACTAAAGTATAAAAAATAAAAAAACCCATATATCTGAAACTTTACTGGAGCCAATTTCTTTGTCATATTTAAATTAAATTTTTGATTGCAACTAAGATCTAAGATTCATTCTTATAGAATATATCCATCTAATATTGGATTTTTAAAATTCTCAAACAAAACTTGATGAGCATCCTCAATATTTTAACACATTAATGACTAAGTAGTCTGCAGATGCTTTTTAACCCAGTTGTATTACATTATTATCAATAAAAACAGCATGTATACTTTCCTGTATACTATATTTTTCATTTTAATTTACTGCTTTACTTGTTTAAGTTGTACTATTAATATTCACATCAACTTTAAAGCAAAAAAAAACAACATAAAAATGCTTGTAAAACCTCAAGTAAAAACTATGAAACTCAGCATATAATAGTATCAATATGTACTAAATGCACTCAGTAAATGATTTTTTTTTAACCATGCCATAAGCTGCATTAAGTCTGACAAAGTTGTTTTGTTCAGAAGTGGTAATATGTAAACGTTATATAGAGTTAATTTTTAAAATAAGTTTTTGACTTTAATGCTGTAGCTTTAGCATACTAAATTATGTGATAATATTACACATTTCTGGTATGTTTCTAGTCGTTTCCATTTTCTGTTCATTTATGATGGTTACTTATGCGGTATTGTCCATTTATATATAACTATGAATGTGTGTTTAGATAACATATCTGACAACACATTGAAATATTCTGCTGCTATGGGCTTAGTACATACATTGATTATTTTATAGCGCTGCTGCTGCAAAGGAGTGCCACTATAACAATTGAGGATTTGGCATGGAGCAGGAACTTTTTCTCTCATTATTCTTTGTTTTTTTCTTCTTTTTCTGAAAAAGTTTGTATATGTGTTCTGTATGCTATAAAGATAAGCAAAACTAGGAAGCAATTTAATATATAGGAAAACTTTTTTTTTTATAGCGAACACTTTCAGGTCAGGCTTTCCCAGGAAAGGTGTGCGCACGCCTTGTTTGTCCACGCATAGAGTAAATTTTTCAGAAAACGTGACCATGGCAATATTTTGTGGGAAAGCGGAAATTATCCACAGAGAATAAAAAATAATATTAAAAAAAGGAAACGAAGTCTAAACAAAGTATAAAATTGAAATTGGATGTAAGAAAAATATTTTGATAATAAAAAAAAATTAAAAAAAAAAAAATTCTTGTAACAAAAAAAAAAAAAGTCTTGAACATTTTTTTTCAAAATTTCTATACTGTTTTTGTTTTCTTTTTTTAGGGTTGCTATTTTCAGCTGCAAAATTTGATACAAGTCAAGGAAAAGACGACAGTAAGTCATAAAGTTTTCAGGAAAATAAAGGCTTGATACGTAATTTATTCACGAACTTTATCAGACAATGTATTAAAAAACTGATTCATTATTTATGCTAGACAAATTTGGTTAAACTTTTTCATTTAATTTAGTTTTTACGAAGGTTTATGCAAAGACGATGACTGTATTCCCCAATACTTAGACAAGAAAATAAAATGTTTTAATGATTAAATATATTATTTGAGATTTTAAACATAACAAAATTTTAATGTGAAAAAAGTTCTCTCTCGACTTATTCTAAACTGATTATACTGAGTCAATGCTCGCCTTTTATTACGTTGAAATTATTCAATTGCATAATTTTGTAATTACGAAAGAAGTTAAAAAAATAATTGCATTGCTTCTGTTGTCATTGTTACGAAAACAGTTCCTTCGGGACATTATTATATATTAACACTCGTTCACAATGTCAATTAATGATTGCAAAATAAGCAACTCAATCGTTTGACAATAAAATTTTCTTTCATTTAAAAAAAAAACAAACATATTTTACTAATAAATAGCAATCGTTTTTGTGTTTTCTTGCGTATCAATACATTCAAACATTTAAATCAATACATTTAAATATTTAAATATATTTACGAAACATTTAAAAATTGTTTATAGTTCTATCGTGAATTTTAAAGTATTACTGACTGATAAAAGTCATAAACAAATTTTACATTGAAAGGTCCTTTTATTTTCATTAAACAATAATCTTTTTGATTTGATTTTTGTTATTGATTTGATTTTTTTTATTGATTTGATTTTTCATTGCTAAAATAACTACCGCCCTAAAAAACAAAAAAAACAAAAAAAAATATAGGTAAATTTTTTTTTTAATAATATAAATTAATTTTTAAATTTGAAAGCACAAACAGATTTCTTTCATTTACTTTAAGATTGCTTGCATTTTTGCGGTAATTTCGTTTAGCTTTGTTTTGGCGCGAATTCTTGAAACGCATAATAATAAAACGTGGTCAGTTAGTCAGAAAAATTTATTCTATGCGTGGACAAACAAGGCGTGCAACCGCACGCCTTTCCTGGGAAAGCCTGTATATGTAAATAAATATTGCTTAAATTTTTTTAAATTTATTATTTAATTGCATACTTTTAAATACCTCTGAAAACTGTTGTGATGAAAAATCAGCAACTCTAACACTACCATCAAAACTGCATGAATAAAGTTTTGAAATATCTGTGGGACAAAATTTCAAACAATTGATTGGTTGTGTATGAGGAGAAAATAAAAAAACTTCAGTACTTTTTCCTTGAGTTGAGTTCTAAATATTAAAAAAAAAAAACAATATTTCAATATTTTTTTATTTGGAAATAGTTGCTTGCAAAAATTTCTTTTAAAAAAAAGTGAAGTCAGGCATTAAAATAGGATTTTCCTTCTTTATAATTACAAAAAATCAAAAAAAAAAGAAAAAAAAAAATGAAAAAAAAAATCACTCAATTTGTTGGGTTATGTAGCAAATTTGTTTCTAGTATAGTACTTAACTAGTTTCTCTGTTCACCAGAATATCTTATTGCATTGTTGATATTTTTATGAGACCTTATTCTTCTTAATTGTTCATTAAAAACAAACAAACAAACAAAAAACAGGACCTAGAAAAAAAAAGCAATATTCATACCACGTCCCAAATCCCAACATTTCCTGATTTGTCGCCAGCACATGCTAAGATTTTATCACATGAAGGGTGTATTGCAATTGAATAAATACGATCTTTTGTTACTTTAGCTGCATACTTGATGTCCAATTTCAGAGTTTCCTCTTGAAACCTATAACAAGAATAACATAAATATTATATTGTCAAAATTTTAAATTTTTATTGATCAATGAGATTTATTTAATATAACGCTGAAGCTTATAACTTCAGTTATAGGATAAAATAGTAAACTTAAATTTCACTTACTTTTTAACATTATTACTTAATAGTTCTGCTTTTGAATTCTAAAAACATTTTTTATTTTAATAAAAAAAAAAATAATAATAATAAAAAACTAATTTCATAATAACAGCTGTTGTTAAAATATTTTACTAATATATTAGTAACTTATAACTATAACAAAATACATATAAAAGTAATACTAAAATAATTAAAACTGAGTATATCGTTTAACAAGCAATACTAAATAATTTTTGTGTATTACTTGATTAGCACTTTTTAAATTCTGTGTAGAATAGAATCAAAAATGATAGAAGAGAGGGGGAGGGGGTAATCTTAAACTGTATATTACAGTTTTAAAGCATAAGATTTTAAATAACTTATATATTAAATAACTTATATATTAAATATATTATAACTTATATAATATATAAAACTTATATTTATAATATATATAATAATAATATATAAATATTTATAATATATAATATATAAAACTTATATTTATAATATATAAATATATTAAATAACTTATATATTAAATAAATTATATATTAAATAACTTATATATTAAATAACTTATATATTATCCTATAATATTATATGCATTAACTTAAGACTGAAAAAACATGGAAAAATGTCAAATATGAATTTAATTGAAACACTTATAATTTAATATTGGTGTATGTGATCCGCGTATCAAATGCACAAAATTATAAATAAACCTGAAGTTTTGACCAAGATTCCATTGCTGATTTACCATGATCTTCTGAAATATTAATAGCCTGCATAGAAAGCTTTGGAGCTCTGCGAGGCTATGAAAAAAACGAAGATGGAAAACTTAATTATAAATTTGGTTAAAAGTTATAATGTACTTTAAATTTCAAAAACTTGTAGCTATATAAACAAAGGTGTCCAACTTTCATTTTATAAATAAAAAAAAAATAAAAAATAACATACAGAATAATATGTGTTTTGCCTGGAAGGTTCGATGGGTGGTAAATCAGTATAAGAAACAGGTAGGTTTTTAATACGAAGCGACACTCTGCGAGGTAAAGGGATTTTTTCATTTAATATCCTAAAATTGAAAGATAACAGAAAAATTAAATACTTTTACACTGTCCTTAACCCCATATCAAAGAAAATTTTAAAACTTGCTTAACTACCTACAATCATAAAGCTAGTAAAACCTTGACCTATTGTGTTTAACTGAACACATTTTTAAAACTTACTTTTGATATCTATGCTATTTCAATTATGCTAAAACTACTTTATCTAAAAATATTTAAATTGTTAAAAGAGTGATCTATGTTTTTCATAAATAAATTCAATATATATATATAAATGCGGTAGTGGTGTAGTGGTAGAGCACTCGCTTCATAAACGAGTGGTTCCAAGTTCGATCCCCACCACGTCCTTGGTAGTACCGCGCTCAACTCGTTTCTCCGTGCAGCGGCCTTGTTCGTCAAGGTTCGTGTTTCGGAGTTATAGAGTTGAGAGAGGGTTATAGCCACAAAATAAGTAGCCTCCTCGTTTGTAGTGGCCTTCTCAGCCTTGAGGAGGTGAAGTAAAATAAAAAAAATTAAAAAAAAAATATATATATATATATATATATATATATATATATATATATATATATATTTATATATATATATATATATATATATATATTTATATATATATATATATATATATATATATATATATATATATATATATATATATATATATATATATATATATATATATATATATATATATATATATACATATATTTTTATAAATAAATTTAATCTAGCTATTATAATTTAAAAATATAAAACCATACAACTTTAAATCGTGTAAAATTTTTCATGGAATCAGAACTGGTAAGCAAATACTTGGACCCAAATCAGAGTCAAACCTTTATTTTAAAAGATATTAGAAAAGCTCAATCAAATAAATATACATTTTTTACTTTTTTTTAAGTATAAAAAGAAAACTTTCAAAAAATAAATAAAATTTTAGGGATAAAAATATAAAAATGCCATCGGTTGGAAAATCGGTAAATTGATAAAGAAAGACCGATGCCGATACCGATTGTGCAAAAAGTGGTCTATTAAGCCGATGCCGATGGTACATCTCTAATATATATATATATATATATATATATATATATATATATATATATATATATATATATATATATATATATATATATATATATATATATATATATATATATTTTAAAATAAAACTTATTTTTATGGATTGATTTCTATTTGCAAAAATTATATTTATTTTTACGATATTTCGAGGGAATATGGATACCCTCGTTATCAAGTATATAAAAACCGTTATAAAAAAACAAAACCGCTATATTAAATAAAAACTGTTTAAATTAACGAAACAATGTTCTCTGTAAGAGCTTCTTTTTAAGAGAGTTATTTAAGTGAGTTTTTTGTGACGTAAGAAATTAAACATGGGTTTCCAAAATGACGTCATCACATAATCGCCATCATCTCTATTAAGACCATTGTCGCAAAAGGTAATTTCGTTGAGTTGTATTTCCAAGGCTTCCTGAACTTTCCTATTAAAACTATTTGTTTCGATTTTTAATGTATTGCGACCATTCCAGTTGAATTTTCCTTGGCAAATTTTGGAATGTTCAGCTACAGCTGAATTATCTCCTTTACCTTGTTGTGCACTTGTTTGATGCTGGCAAGTGCAATAACTCTCTTAAAAAGACACTTAAATTTCCAATTTCGCAAAAACGCTGAATGAATTTTTTTCCTGGGTAACACCCTGATCTTTAATGTTGATTTATTTTTACTTTCAACAAGAATAGACACATTTAACACAATAAATGTAACAATGTAGTCGAAAAACAAAGCGGTTCTTGACGACAAGACCATAATGTCATCTACGAGACTCCACGTTCTTCCTTTTACTTAATTAATCTTGTAATCATTCTATTATATTATTGAAATTATTATGATTGTTAAACGACTAATAGTGTAAATCATTTAAAGAAAGAACAAAAAATAAAGAAATAATATATATATATATATATATATATATATATATATATATATATATATATATATATATATTTATATATATATATATATATATATATATATATATATGTATATATATATATATATATATATATATGTATATATATATATATATATATATATATATATATATATATATATATATATATATATATATATATATATATATATATATATATGTATGTATGTATGTATGTATGTATGTATGTATGTATGTATATATATATATATATATATATATATATATATATATATATATATATATATATATATATATATATATATATATATATATATATATGTATGTATGTATGTATGTATGTATGTATGTATATATATATATATATATATATATATATATATATATATATATATATATATATATATATATATATATATATATATATATATATGGTCAGGTTTATCCTGCTACTGGTAACATGTAACCCAGTACAATCTGCATCATGTCCTGCTGCCTTGTAGGATACGCCTTTTTAGGCAAAGGCTAGGAGATGCAAACTCCGACATAAAACACCCCCTGCCTTGGGGCTCTTGGTTGAGTAAAGGCTAGAGACGGTGTCTCGATAAAAATACTCATCCCAGGCAGATGCTAAATGCATCCGGCTGCTGTCATGTAGAAGGCCTCCTAGGCAAAGACTTAAGGGGTAAACAGGTTCTATCTGTTGACCAGCCTCGCACCCCTTCATCATCTATTAGGCTGGCGCAGATGTATTTTTAATACATTGTTTCCAGTTTAGGATGTTGAACGCTGGATCTTTTTGACTCGATGCATGGGTTTTGCTTGTGTCTCTGTTTTTATGACTAGGCAACTCATTCTATTATCTCCAAATGAGGGTACAGCTCTAAAACTCAGTTTTATGGTTCTGAGGCTGGCTGGTAGTCAGGTTTCCCAAACTCTGTGGTAGCTCACAGAGAGGCTGACACCATCAACAGCTGAAAAATATCAGAGTACTAACAGTGCCATGTTGCGCATGGGTAGTGTCCCTGTTTGTACTTTTGGTGTGCATTGCCAAGGCCACATTGGAGCCCTTTGTTACGGCTTAGGGTTTATTACTGGAAATGAGGCAATTGCTTGGGCTATAAGACAGTGTACTGAGTACTATCTATGTTTCGAGTCAAGTTCTTTAACAAATTTAAAAATGAATAAAGTAACAAAAACAATAAAACACAAAAAACCACAGTCATCACCAATATTCGTGGTCTTTGAAGTAACTTTTCTTCTGTGAAGTCTTATCTCTTGCAAAGTTCACTAGACGTACTTGCTCTTTGTGAGACTAATTTGAGTTTAGCTGTCTCTTCTTGTGATCTTAGTTTTGATGGTTATCTTCTTTTAATTTGTCAAGACTCCAATAGTCACATGCTTGGCCTAGGTATTTACATTCGTAAGAATTCACCCATTTGTCAGGAAACTAGGTTTGAATCCACAGACTACTCTTTTATGTGCTTTCGTTTAGCACCACTTCACTCTATCACCTTTCTCTTTGTTCTATATCGCTCTCCCTCATCGCAAGACTGCACTCTTCTTGATGTTATTTGTGATTATATTGACCAAGCCCTCATTCTTTATCCATCAGCCAATATTGTTGTTGTTGGTGACTTTGTTGTTCATCACACTGAATGGCTTGGCTCTAGTGTCAGTGACTCTGCAGGCAATAAGGCCCACAACTTTGTCTTTCTCAATCCCTAACTCAAACAGTCAACTTTCCAACTCGCTTTCCAGACAACCTAAATCATTTACCTTCTCTACTCGACTTATGTCTTGTTTCTGATCCTAGTCAGTGCTCAGTTTCTTCACACTCACCCTTAGGTGTTTCTGATCATGGTTTGGTCTTTCTAAAACTATTATCTCATTCTTCTTTACCATCAGAATCCCCCTATCATCGTGCATCTTACAACTACCTTAAAGCTGACTGGGACTCTTTCCGTGATTTTCTTTGTGATGGCCCCTGGGTAAAAATCTTTCGTCTCCCTGTTGACAAATGTGCTTCTTACATAACTTCGTGGATTCAGGCTGGCATGGAATCCTTTATTCCCTCTCAACAAATCCAGGTCAAGCCTCACTCTTTTCCATGGTTTTCCTCTCATTGTGCTGCTGCAATTGCCAATCGAAACCATTACTTCCATATCTATCAGCAAAACAATTCTCTAGAAAACAGACGCCTGTTTATTACTGCTAGGAACCATTGTAAAAAGGTTTTGTCTAACGCCAAAGCCCGCTATTCTCAGATCATGAAATCTCGTATTTCATCACAAAAAATAGGCTCTCGTGACCTCTGAAGAATCTTTAATAGTATCAATAATAAGGGCAAGTCTGTAATTCCACCTCTTTTGTATGGTTCAGACTTTGTCACCTCACCTAAAGACAAAGCTGAATTGTTTGCCAAGAACTTTTCATCAATATCATCTCTTGATGCCACTAGTTGCATTCTACCTAATATAGCCGTCAAACAGGTTGATCCATTGCTCGACATACGTATCACTACAGCTTCTGTATCTAAAGTGATTTCCCGCTTAGACTCTTCTACAGCTTGCAGCTCGGACAACATACCTGTTATAGTCTTGCAGAAGTGTTCTCTGGAACTGTCGTCTATCCTTTCAAAACTATTTAACAAGTGCTTGTCAGAGTCTTGTTTTCCAGCCTGCTGGAAAGCAGCACCTGTTATCCCTATTTTTGAAAATTCTGGAGAGCGATCTGATTCGTCTAACTACCGTTCCATTAGTCTTCTTCCTATCATAAGCAAGGTTTTTGAATCTTTAACTAACAAACACTTAATCTCTCATCTCGAATCTCATAACCTACTTTCTGATCATTAATATGGATTTAGATCTTCTCGTTCTACGGCTTATTTGCTATCAGTAATAATCGATAGGTTTTATCGCGCATTAAGATAAAGGTGGAGAGGTTAAGGCCATTGCTCTTGACATTTCTAAAGCGTTTGATAAAGTTTGGCATGCTTGTCTTCTCCATAAGCTTTCTTCTTCTGGTGTATCTGGAAACATCTTTAAGATTATTGAATCCTTCCTTTCCAATCGTAGTATAAAAGTTGTCCTTGATGGACAGCACTCTTCTTCTTATTCTGTAACCTCAGGGGTTCCTCAAAGTTCAATCCTTGGCCCTATACTCTTTTTAATTTACATTAACGATCTTCATGATATTCTCACATCTAAGGTGGCATTGTTCGCTGATGATACTACCATATATTCTTGTCACGATAAGAAGCTAAATCCTTCTGATTGCTTGCAGGGGGCATTTGAGCTTGAAAAGGATCTCACTTTTGCTACAGCATGGGGCTTACAGTGGCTGGTGAACTTTAATTCAGATAAAACTCAATTTTTTTCGGCCAATCGTTATCGCAATAGTTTAGACCTTTCTATATTTATGAACGGTAATGTACTTGATGAGTCTCCTACCCTTCATCTTCTAGGATTAACTCTTACTTCTGATCTTTTTTGAAAACCTTATATCAAATCCATTGCAAAATTAGCATCTGCTAAAGTTGCTTCTTTTTATCAAGCTCGTCACTTTCTTACTCTGGATTCTATTCTCTATCTCTATAAATCTCAAACCCGGCCTTGTATGGAATACTGTTGCCATATCTGGGGCGGATCTTCTAATGATGCCCTTTCTCTTTTAGACAAGGTGCAAAAACGCATTGTAAACATAGTTGGACCTGCTCTTGCAGCCAACCTTCAACCTCTGTCACATCGTCGTAATGTTCCTTCTCTTTCTCTTTTTTACAAATACTATAATGGGCATTGCTCGAAAGAGCTGGCGTCTCTTGTGCCATCTACTGAAATTCATTCTCGTGTTACTCGTCATTCGATTAAGTCTCATTCTTTTTCTGTTGCTGTTCCTAAATGCTCCAAAAACTCTTATGCGTCCAGTTTTTTTCTCGAACATCAGTTCTTTGGAATTCGCTTCCTTCATCTTGCTTTCCTGATTCATATAATTTGCAATCTTTTAAGTCGTCTGCCAATCGTTATCTTGCTCTACAATCTTCATCTTTTCTCTTCCAGTAACTTCCAACACTAATTAGTGGTTGCTTGCAGCCTTGTTGGAAGCGAAGATAGTTAAAAAAAAAAAAATATATATATATATATATATATATATATATATATATATATATATATATATATATATATATATATATATATATGTATATATGTATATATGTATATATATATATGGGCCTTGTTTTAAATAAAAATGCTTAATGCATTAACTTAATGTGAATTTGACGTCATAAAATATTTTTGTATTTTTTAAAGACTAAATTTTTTAAACTATAACAATATAATAAATTATTGCAAAAAGAAACCAATTGAAAAATTAACTCAATTAACAAAAACAATGCAGAAATGTTATAATGGAATGTTTATTTTTCTGATATTAAATAATTCAATTCAATATTACATTTTTTCTAATGTTGAATATAAACTAACTTTTTTCTTTTTTCGAAACTAATATAAATAAATTAAAATCATTTGTTTAAAATATCAAAATATAATTTTTTTTTTTTTTAATTTTTATATCTTAAAATATTAATTTCATTTTAAAAAAAATTTTCGGTTGCGAAGGTATTTTTTTATGATATGAAAAAATTAGCGGGAAGCAAATTTTTTGCCTTGATAAAATACTGTTTTCTATTTTACTTAAAATATTATTTGAGCTCTTACTCCATTACCATCAATAATGAATATTGTGATAATATGACTGGTAGTGTTTTTATAAAAGTATATAAGTTATAGAATATAAGTTAAAAACAGCTCCAAACTTTCATAAAAGCAAAAAGCACTATTAATTATTTCAATAAACAACTGCTAGAACAATTTACATTAAAAAAAAGTTTTTTGAAGTTACTTAAACATAAATTTCAAATACTTTTCATTTCTATACATAGTAAATAACTAACTAATCATAAATTTAATAAACTAAATTAAAATTATCTTAAGAATTTTATCGCTCGATGAAGAAGAGCATTAACAGAACATCACTTAAATATTACAAACAACAGTTAAAGCATTTGTAAAAATTTTAGTAATATTTAAGGTAATGCTAAACTCAAGGAAATAAATAGTATATTTTTTAATAGAATACTATTAAAAAATATAATAAATAAAGATCACCTAGTTTGAGTGCAAACTTTATTGGAAAGTCTGAATATAACACATATCTTTAACACATTAAAAATTAAATGCTTAATTAAAATAACTTTTTAACCAAAAATTTTTCTAAATTTTTAGGACATTTTATGCACATTTTGAATAGTGCACAACCCGTTAACTATATAAAGCTGCTGTTAAAATCAAATAAATCTTGAACAAATAAATCTTGAGAATAAAGTATGCAAAACTAATGCAAAACCTTATTTTTATCATATATTTTGTATTAATTTGCTTCAAGCTCAATTGCATTCGATATTTGCATTTTTTAAGAAAAAATAAATTATTACTATAAAATAAAATAAAAATAAATTAACATAAACAGCGACAATATAAAATAAAACTTTTTTAATGGCAGAAATAAGCAACTTAGTTTGAGAATTGTGCAAAGACTATAAGAAGACATGCTTAAAATATTTTAATAAAGTTCTAAATATATGAGATTCTGCATAATTCCAAATATATGAGAAGTTTATTAAATATTGACAGATTAAAAGAGTATATATCATAAATAAGAAAGGAGTACCAATCTAGAATGTGGCACTAATTTTAAATTAATTTGACTAAATATTTTATAAAATCAAAAAAAATGAATTTAATTTTTTACATTTTTTGTGATTTGTAAATAGCAAGCTTATTGCGACTAAATTGCAAGCTTATTTTTAACTTTTTCAAAAACATTCTTAAAAAGAAAATTATAGTACCTCTTAAGACCAACATCAAATGACTTTTTTTTTTCTGTTCTTGGTTTTGTAAAATTATACTGTTCTTTAGCCTAAATATTTAGATATACATAAATATTAAGAAATAAAATATTCGTCAGAAATATAATATATTAAACTTTTATGTATATATAAGGGTGCCAATAGAAACAACTTTATTTTGAAAGTTTTTACTCCTACCCCATTTAAGTGTTCTATGTAATATATAATAAAATAACATTGGATTTAAAAAACCTTCTGAATAAAAAACATTTCTAAGGGTAGCTCAAGTAGCCCTTAAACATTTAATGGGTCCCTAACATAAAATTTTTTTTTTCAAATAAATAAATATATATATATATATATATATATATATAAATATTGTATGATATTTTGTATTTGCAATAAAATACAAAAAAACTCTTGTACGTATAAGAGTGCTCAATAATAAATAAATAGGATTTATTTATATTATTTAATAGAGCATTATATTAATTAATTTATAAAAATAAAGAAAACAACTTTTTATGGTACTAATAGTTTTATGCCTAAAGGCAAAGAGTTTTTTTGTATTTTATTGCAAATTCAAAATATCATACAATATTATATATATATATATATATATATATATATATATATATATATATATATATATATATATATATATATATATATATATATATATATGATTGTAAATGTGTAAATGAAAGATCGTAGCTTTACAACAGAATTTTTTTTTTTTTCATCTTTTATTTTCAATTAAGAAAAAATTACTCCTTTCGAATTTCGATACGGGTGATTAGGCAGCCGTTTTTAGTTTTTTCTTATCTTTTTGTTTTTGTTTTGTTTTGACAACGGAGCACACTCCACTGTAACTTTATATTTTAACGTTTTTTTTTGTTTCTTGTTTTGTATTACATGGCTGATGATTGCCTTTAGGCATGAAACTATTAGTACCATAAAAAGTTGTTTTCTTTATTTTTATAAATTAATTAATATATATATATATATATATATATATATATATATATATATATATATATATATATATATATATATATATATATATATATATATATATATATATAGTAGGGTGTTAACTGGGAATAATTTTGATACAGCGTTTTGATGATATTGAGAATTCGTCAAAAGATTTCCCAATCCTACCCCCCCCCCCTCCTGATATTAAAATGTGTTCCGGGAATGCATGGGATTCTTTTTTTTTTATTATTTCTGTTTCTACTCCACTGCAGCACTGCATACATTGATTAGACAGCGCAAAAAATAAAACACCGTCTGTAACATATATTGAAGATAAATATGAAATCAACAAAAAATTAGACGTAATTTCACGACACAGCAAATTAAGCTCTGATTTCTGAAGATATATTAAAAATTATATACTTTTTTATTATAAAATAATCAGTGTATATTAATTATTATTAAGAATAATATATTTGATTTATTTTTAGTCTTAATATACAATTGCCGCTTTCATTTTAAGAGAATTCTTTTAAATAAATATTTCTTTCCTAATGGTGGGCATTCAATGGGGATTTTTAAAGTAATATAGTGATTTATGTTCAATGAAAATATCCGCGCAAGGGAACCAATGATCTCCTACATGATGGTGATAGGGTTCGTCCATAAGGGACTTATGGACGAACCCTATCACCATCATGTAATAAATTGTGTCCTCAAAAGGAACATTTAAAAAAATAAAAAAATAGAAAAATAGAAAAGTTTTGAAAATAGTAAACACGAGCTCATAAATTTTATATTTCACATTTATTGCGAATTCATTTTTATAATTAATATTAATTTTCTTTAAACACAAATTGCATAGCAAAATAAAATTACAATTACAAAATCTCAGCAAAAACAAAAATTAATGTCGTTTAATTACAAAAAAATATTAATCGCAAGCGATTGCACGCTATTGTGGCATCAAAGAATACCAATAATTACTTTTTCATTCATAGTCATAAAATTTTAATACAACTATGGTTCATTCAAACATTTAAATTTGCTTTTACGTTTTAAATTCAAGCTAGCAGTGACTCCAGTTTTCTTGATTTTTAAATTTCTAGTACCAGTTTGTTGTAATAAAAAAAAATTCTTGTTATTAAACGTATCCAATTTACGTTTAAAAAATACGTATTTAATTTACGCTTTAATTAAAAGCAAGCAGTAAAGTAAATAAATTTATTTTCCTCGTTAAATAAATTTCTAGTACTAATTTGTTATAATTACAAAACATTTTTTGTATTAAACTTATATTTCAGAGGTGGTCTTTTAAAAAGTTAGTTGAATAAAGTTAGTAGATAAGTAAAAATGATTTTAGTTAATGCCACCACGTAATTCAGTTGATTTAAAACATTAAACAAAAAAAAAAGATAAAAGACTTACCATTTAATCCGTAATTGATCAAAATTTCGAAAATATCTGACGTAGACGTAGCTTCTCAATATTTTATTTGACAAAGCACATGTACTTCTTGAAGTAGAGTTTGCAGTAAGACTTAATAAGTTATTTAACTTTTCAGCCAAAAAGGGAAAAATGTTTAAAGAAACAGCATTTGCAGGTGTTAAACTGAATAAGTTTGTTATTTTTTAGATTGTACTCTTTTTCTTGCTAACTTTTTAATATGATATTTGCTGTTTTTGCAACGCATTGCAAAAAATTACTTGCAAATTTTGAAAAATAAATTTTACTAGCAAGTTGCCAAGAAAATCCCTAAAATCGCTGGGAAAATCCCAATTCTTAAGAAGTTTTTTCCAATAGACATTTTTGCAGTTCTGCAATCGGGTAGTAGAAAAGTTTTATACAATTAATAAATTAAAGTTTTTATGTTATTTTTCTATTAGTTTTTGAAAATAATTTTTAAAATTATTATTCAACTCTAATTTTATTTTAAACTTAAATTTTATGATACGTTTCCATTTCAAGTTTCATTTTTGACTTTTTTGTTGTTGCTGTTATCTGTGTAATTTACCAGCAAATTTAGTTTTCAGAAATTATTTTTAATTCATTTAAAAAAAAAATGTTATTATAACTTATTTTAAAATATATTATTTATCAATTATTTATATAAAATTTTTTTGTAACTTTCCTTATATAAGAACAGTAAAAATGTAAATTTCCTAAGAGTTCTTGATTATTAAGAATTGATTAAAAAAAAAAAATGTATTAAACATATTTAAAAAAGTATTAAACATATTTAAAAATCTTAAATAAAGAATAACAAGACATCAATTAAAAAATAAAGTTTTTTTTTTTTACTTTTGAATAAATGATCTTGCTTGTTAATGACAACGCTTTTTTTCACATTAAAAAAAAAAAACATTATTCTTGATCAATTTAATTCTTTTTTTAGTCGTGCATACTAATAATGTTTTCTACATAAAGGATCATCCATAAAAAACACAAATTCACACAACGCTAAATTTCACAAAAACAAAAAAGATTAAAGGTTTTTCCTCGCAGAGTTTTAAGTTTAATAAAAAATCAAAATAGCGATTTTCATTA